GATACTTGAACCTGTTTCATCAAGACGTTTGGAGGACGAGAGGAAGAAGGAGAGGAAAGAAAAGAAAAGAAAAGAAGGATCTGGAGTTTCCTGAGAGTTCTAAGGTCAGTCAGAGGCGGAACAGCCACACAAACAAACAAACAAACAAACAAACACAGGGTCGCCGCGTCTGTAGTTAACGACGTTATCTAGCGAACACCTCCAGTTGTTGACTATAAACAAACAAACAAACATCATGAGAATGAACATTACCTTTTAAACAGTCGTTGTTGTTGTTGTTGTTGTTGTTTTCCTGCTGTTGTTGTCAGAGGAAATCAACGCCACCTGTTGAGGAGCGTTCAGTGAAAGCCTCTGAACAACAAACACTAACAGAGTGAGAAAGAAGCTGCTGCTACTTCAATCATATATCCAATGTTTGGGACAATATCAGAGATCGATGATCGATTAGTCACCGTCATTGTGTCACTAACTGATCAAACAGTGTAACGTTGCTCTGCTGGAGCAGTACCGGCAGGAACACTGAAACCGAGCCAGCTGTGTGTCATTGACCTCGATTGGATCCAATAACATCTGCTCCCACTAGAGGGCCCACTGAGTATTATTGATCATTATTATTATTATTCCAATAATTGGACAGATGTCATCTTTAAATCCTTCTTTGATTTTTAAAGACTTTATTAGAAGTTAAACATTGTATATATATACAATCAAATGCTTCATTAGAGCTTTCAGCTCCTTTACTTACTCAGGTTAATTCAGAATAGAATAAATCCTTTTTTTAAATATACATATACAGTTTTACAGTCAACATGAAAATAATTCAAAATAAATCAAAAGATAATCAAATGTAAAATGATCATTCCCACTAACTGTATGATATATATATATATTACTACTTTTACTATATGTATATACTTACACATTCATTTCTATTCTATATGTAGTGTTATATAAATCTATAAATCCTATAAAAGTGTTTGTGAACTACGGTAAGTCCAGTATATTTAGTTTTCATATTCATGAGCGCGTGGATAATAAATCAATGAATGAATGAATTAAATAAATAAAATATGAAATAACTGACTCCACTTGCCTTCTTGTCAAGAGTTATACAGTATAACATTTTCCAAAATCAATATCAACAATCAGTTATTGAACTTCTTTGATATTAACTCGTGTTAAGTGTTGGATACTGTTGCAGTTCATTTATTTTGGATGTATAAACATACTGCTAACAATTACATACAACATGTTCTACACAAACAAACTTTAGAATAAAAAGAAATGAATCTGAATTTACCACAAAATGAAATGAATAATAAGAAGTTATTAATGTTGTCCTATAGTACATATACAGTCTTACTGTTGATGTAAATATCAGTACAACTATATCTGGTTTTAGTAAAGTGGGCCACGACCCAGGCTCTTTGTCCCATTGGCATCAACCAAACCCACTGCGCCACTGAGCTCCTTGCACACTTGAGCTCTTCTCTGGGCGCTTTTATGTTTCACGTTGGCTGCTGGACCACAAAACCCACTCGATCTCTAAAGGGAATCGAACACACAACTTCAGAACTTCTCCTGAGTCTTCTAACCCACTGCACCACATAGCTCCACACTAGAACCTTTTCTCCAGGCACTTTTATGTTTTCACTTTGGTTGCTGGACTACAAAACCCACTTGGTCTTATAAGGGAATAAAACACTCAACCGCTCGTCTCTGGGACCCTCTTCTAACCTACTGCACCATTTCTTCTCACACTCTTTATGTGTCTTTCTAACAGCTTTTTCACTTCTTTCTTTGAACCTCTCGCTTTAAAATTCACAGTTGAACAGGGCTCAAACCCACATCCTCAAAACTTCCACTCATTCTGCTTATCCTTCTATTTTATGTTTGTTGTTACTTTTCTTTATATCTTTAAAGGAGCAAACAGATTAAAACACACTGGATTCAATCCCTCAACCTTAGTTGGATAGACTCGGGGTTAGACGTCAGGGTTTGGGGCTACAAGGTTGGTACTTCAGTACCTGATTCTGCCTCATAATAGCTTCTCTACTTCCAGACTGTTACTGATACAGTTAAACTCCACGAGTACAGTCGGATTAAAACCCACCCTCCCAGTCTTATACTATATGTATACTAAACTGTAAGGATTTTAAAGTGCAGAAAGTCATAGAAGTCACACGACTGATTGCAGCACTTAAACACGAAAAGATTTATTTAAGGTCTCACAGATACAAAATAGCTTTTCTTATTTTCATAGAACAGCATTTCTTGTTTTGTTTTTTTGTATTTTTTTTATTCATTTTTTGACTTGCGTGAGGTATACAACAATATATCCAGTGACTTCAAACAATCTGAATGGCACACAAAGAGACGGACGCTGTACATTTGTCTTTTCTGAAGGTGTTAGTGGAGAGGAAGGGAAGCTACAGAGCGAGCAGGATGTGTGAACAATCATTTCCCAACCGCCTTGTAAAACATCGGGCACATAACCAGTATCTTTCGAATGTTATATTTCTTATCACTTGACATTTTAGAATTATATTTTTTTAAGCCTTTTTTGCTTTCAAATATATATTTTTTAATAATTTAGCTTCCTCGTAGAGACCAAAACCAACATGACGACCCAACAGCGACACAATGTCAAACACATATAAGAGGAAAAATTACATTTCTGCTTCAATCTGGCCTAAATCGAACCTCCGTAAGTCCCGCCCCTTTTTGGCTCCAATAGGAACTGAGAACACCTCGGTCAACCTCCTCCTTTCCTGTACTCAGATATGCTATGTGCTAGGCTAATCTATGTTGAAGTTGACTGTTATTGGAGCTCAAAGCAAAAAGGGGCGGGACTTAGGAAGGGTTAATCGGAGCATAGCTCCCAGAACTTCAGATGGATCTCCACAAGTAAAATCTGATGTTTAAAACTTGTTCACATGCAGTCAGATGGTTCAGAAAATACATTCAGGATGGGAAAGTAGTCAGGTGAATTAAGTGTTTGTGTTTTTAATTTATGAGGCATGACAGAAACATTTTATAAACCCTCTGGAGTCTGCCGGTTCATCAGTGAATACACTGTTTTATTCATAGTAACTTTATTTATATGCCCTGTAGAGACAAACTGAAAGTGCTGACGATCAGCTTTCACAAAGCATCTCATTTACGTCCGTAGACCATAACATTTCTTTAAATCTGTGAATTATTAATATTTATTATTATTATTATTTTCAAGCCTATACAGACTTAATAAAATTACTTTACCTATAAATTAACTGTATTTTGGTTTTATTTCTTAAACCTTTCTTCTGTATTTTATAATTCATATAAATAGTAAAATAATATTCTTTACATCCTTGAAGTGCTCCATGGCAACATTTTGAGTGATTATCACAAAACAAATATATATATATATATATAGGCGCCTAGGTGTCTTTCATTTTTTGTGTTTTGGGTTCCTGACAGCTTTGAAGTTTGTTAAATTAACAAACAACTTTTTTTTACCTTCTTATATTATATGCTTTTATTAAAACAGCTTCTTTTTTTTATCTTCCTGATTTAATTTTCATTTCAACTTTTTCCCTCTGAGTGTCCCTGAACACATCATAAACGTGCCACAAATCCTAAAAAAGTGTTAATCCTTCCCGACCTTAAAGTCGTCTGATAGTAATGTGTTCTTTTTTGTTTTTTTTGACATCACCATTATATTTGAAGGGATCACCCGACAGGCAGATAGAGAAGCATAACGTCTTCCTTCATCGTCATCATCACAGACAAAAAAAGCAAAGTAACATAGGAGAATGCGTGCGAGAGTCAGGGGGTCAGGGAGCAGCGTCAGTGCGTCAGACAGGAGGCTGGTCTGGGTCGTACTGGTTTCACTGGGGCAGAGCTTTGAGGATGGCGTTGACCTCCTCAGCGACGGCAGTCAGGGCGAACTCAAACTGGTCCTGGGAACAAGAAGGAAGACGATTACATCTGATACCCAGAGGAAAGACTCTGAAACGCTGCTCATGAAACATTTCACCAAAAAAAGTCAACGCTGTGTTCCAATTAAGGCGTTTAAATACGTTAAATCAAACTATTACGACTTGTTTACCACCTCCTGATCGTCCTGCAGAGTTATTTCTCAGACTATCACCAAAGCTTTCAGTCAGAGGTTTCTTGTCTTCTGTTGACAAGTACATGGCATGACTGTGACATCCATAAACATGGCTTATGGATGTCACAGGTGCTATTATTTAACAAACAAAAAAGTTTGTACCAAGTCTCCCAAAGTTAAGTAATAACTTACTGGTTATGGTGCAGGTCACAGCAGTCGCTGTTATTTTACATGTTTTATTAAGTTCAGTGTCACACTGACTGACCTTGGTGCGAACCATCCCAGGTCTCTGGTCCCGGACGTGCTCCAGCGTAGCAGCGATGTCGATCTCTTTCACACCTGCAGGAAGACAGGTAACACACATTCAGTGCGCCAGAAACGTGGACGGCTGGGTGAACGCACAAAGCCAAAAACTCTGGAGGGACCAGTCAGTTCAGATGGTTTTATATTATATTTATTTTATGACTTAATATAATAAAAATAATAAAAAGTACATCAAATGCAAATATTGTAGAGAAAACAAAGGTAAACCTTGACGACAGGTTTATCTGTGATGAAACATTTTCTGTTGTTGTTGATGCAGGATACCAATAACCTGTACTAAGAGTCTGATCCACTATTTATCTTACAGCAGTGTGTGGAAACAGTTTTTCCTCAGAGCATTTGAGGAGTTTTTTGACAGCTGGTAAAACAAAAGATCAGAAATGATTTGGACTTTAAACCGATCCATCAAAAAACTACAGAACTGGCCCGAGAAATCCCGATACTGCAGATCAACCTGGGACATCCCTCATCAATAATTCTGTTGCCACGTTGAATAAAAGAAACACTTTATCTGGGTGACATTACACCTTACAGGCAGGAAATGAACTTAATAACACATATAAACCTCACCTTTAGCCATGCGATTGAGAACCATGTCAATCAGGATGTAAGTCCCAGTCCGACCTGTACCGTCACTATGGAAACGACACAAAACAAACGTTATTAGATAAAAGCAATTTATTGGAGATTAACTTTATAATAAACTGTGCAGTACTTTAAAAAAAGTGTTTCACAATGCAAACTAAACACAAAAACAGCATTACACAACAACAGGCCTCATTACTTTACAGTTTTTCTCAGATTGTTGTGGCAAATAACACATCGCTGTAAGCATACCTGAATAAAAATCTCATATTTTATTATTATTTTATTTCAAATCTTACACTCTACAGAACTAGAGTCTGTGCTTACTACTGATCAAATTTTTGATGCTGTATTGTTTTGTGCTGTCAAGTGGATTTATGTGGTACTACAATGCAGTGCATGTATGTGTACTGTCTGTGTGTATGTAACTGCACAACTTGATTTTTTTAGTCTAAATGAAACTTTTTGTAGTAGTAGTTGTTGATTATTGAAGAATGAGGACGTTGGAGGTTTACCTGCAGTGCACGATGATGGGGCAGGATCGTCCTCTGTAGCACTTGTTCACCTTCCTGAGGAGAAAACAAATGCAAAACATGACAAGCTGAAGATAATATGAAAACATACTTCTGTCTGAATGAATGCTGGTATGTGACGTTTCTGTTTACACGACCTTCATCGGGTATATAAATAAGCATTCCAGCAATTCCATATTTTATAGTTATAGGAGGATTGACAAACATAACCTGTCAAAAGTTTAGAAAGGGATGAGGTGAAAAAATATTCCTATCGTATTTAATCATACATGAAAAGAGACACATAACTCCAGACTAAGTTAAAAGACAATGACATAATATAATTCACCCAGCATCTACATTCACACATAGAACTGATGCTTGTTCATTTATCTAATAACTGTTGTGTAGACCGAAAGTAAAAAATAATACACAAGCATTAAGCGATAGATGTAGGCAACACTGACTTCTGCTGCCACTGTGCAGTGACAAAAAAATGTATTTCTGTCCACAAACTAACATTTAAAAATGTTACAGGAAACAACTTGTTCCTAGAATTTTCAATTATTGTTATTGTCTGAGTCTCGAAACACAAAAAAGTTTTTTGTTCAAGCCAGACAAGCAGATAGATAGATAGATAAGATAGATACGATAAGATGATAGATAAGATAGATAATAGTAGATACGATAGGATAAGGGGTGGGGTAAACGGAAGGGGGGTTTCAGCGATGGATCCTGCTGCAACACAGTCCAAGTCCATGGATGCATGTTTGTGACTATGCAACTGGACCCAGACTACTAGCTGCAAACCACAAGAATGACACAGACAGATATGTTCAAAATTAAACCAAGGGCCCCGCTGACCTCCATCGCACAGGGTGGGAGGACGGGAAGAGAGGAGGGACAGGAGGGGCGAGGGGGCAGGAGGAGAATAATGGTGGAAAGACAGAAGGAGGGAGGGTAACAATATTGTTTCTTCAGTGTGTTACCATAGAGCTGGGTTTCAGTTTCAGGAGCAGTTTTCTGTAAACGTTGATGCAGACACCTGATGCAGTCTATTTATGTCGATGTTCATTTAACGGTATCAGAATGCATAATCACCTCGGTAATGCAGCATAATTTCACTTCTGTTTCGTTAGTTTGTGCATTTTTGTGTTTGTGGAGAAATACCATCTGACCAAAGACAGTAAGTGGTGTTCCTGTTTTAATCCCAGATTTGTGAATTTTAAATCATATTTGGACTTTTTTAAATCAACTGGCTTGAAAAAATACAGCAAACCCATTTTAAGTTTCTCATTTAAGTTTCTGTTGTTTATTTGTTATATGTGGCTAAACATAACTCTTAGAATGAAATCATGGAAAGCATTTCCACTGGATTAAATCGTTTTCTTACATCCTCTGGTTGTGTTTCTTTGGTGTGTATAAAGGTAGCAGCAGTACCTGCGAAAGTCCAGCAGGGGGCGCGTAGAGGTGGGGATGCCCTGAGCCGGCCAGCTGAGGAAGTGGAACTGAGTGAGCGTCCTGGTCTCCTGAGTCTGCACGTTCTTCAGGTAGAAGCTTCGCACCAGGAAGTCGTTACACCAGATGTGCTCTGACACCAAGTTCGACCTGGACGGAGGGAAGAAATACTAGCTGCCTGGAGGGACTGAAACAGATCGGCATGGTCCCCCTCTCTCCTCTTCTCTGGTCTGTTCTCTCTCTGTCTCTCTCTCTCCTCTCTCTCACCTCACTGAGATTGTGTGAGACGGGTATGAGCCCTCATCAGGCCAGTAACGGTCACACTGTTTCTCTCCATCTTCCACCAGAGCAGTCATCATCACGATCACAGTGCAGCCATTCTCCCACACCATCTGCACAACAACAACAACAACAACAACAAACAGGAGTGATTAACAAACAAGCACTGAGAAGGTGTCACTTTGGACAAAGGAAACAATCAATGGATTAATGGAGAAAATACTCAGGAGATGAATCCATAATGAAAATTGTTAGTTGCAGATAATGTATCATATATTAATGTATGAGTAATAATAATCGAATGATTTCATGTATAATAGTACAGCAGTAACAGGTTTAATACTGTATGTACATTTAAGAATTAGTACAATTAACTAACAATAAATACTTGTGTTACTTCTACTCAAATCAAATCTCTTTCATGCTTAAATTGTTTGAGTTGAACTAAGTAATCAGGTTTAACAGTGAAACCAATAAAACAATACATATAATCAATACATCTACATCAGACGTGAAACAGACCTGCCAGAAGTCGGAGATGGTGTGCGACAGGGGGCCCTGGGTGGCGATGTAGGCCGGCATCCGGGGGTCGTGCTCAATCTGAAGGTAGGCGGGGAGGGAAATGTTACACTGGGGCGAAGGTCAAAGGTTACCTCAAGGGGGGGCCAAGCAAGTCTCTGAAGAAGCTGCATTCTTTCAGAAAACTGACTAATGGAGCCCAAAATGTTTAATCATTAGTCCAGCATAAGCATCAGATAATTGTCCTCCAACCATCTGGTTTGTGAGTCAGACTCAAGATCTCTCTCAGAGGCATAGCGTGGTTACCATGGCGACCACAACAGACTTACTATGGTGCTGGCGTTGATGTAGTCGGAGCGTGAAGGGTTGACCTCCGCCTTCAGCTTCACCCTCGAGTGGTCATCTGAGGAACAACAGTGACATTTAACCCCGTCTGTTTCCCCGTTCCTCATATTCATTAACATTCTCGCTGCATCATTTTAGACCTGACACACTTGTTATCTGCGAGACAGCCTTAAGGTGTGAAACCGCTGGGACTCACAGGGCACAGAGTCGGGGCAGCGGTTCTTCTTGCCGTTGGCGTCGCTCTGAGCCACAGACACGGCGCTGGGCTCGGCCTGGTAGGTGCACAGAGCCTCCCACTCCTTCATCAGACGGTCCTTGTTCCTTAGGTGGTCCTCCATGTAGGCCTGAGGGACGTTGGGAAGACAACTGCTTGTTTTTATGTGATTGAGTAAACTGCAAATACTTTGTGGATATTTCATATTGTATAACAATAACAGCAGAGAGCCGCTGATAACCTGCACAATGAACCCAAACACAATAACTGCAGGAAGTGTGTGTAAAACAGAGATTTGGATGAATTTTGAACAGATTATTTCCTGTGAATGTTAATCAGAGATAAGTTTTCTTTATATTTGTAGGAACTTTTTAGACAATCCTCAATGTCTACAAAGAGTAAAACTCTCTTTTCTATCTCATACATCACAACACAAAGACTAAAATGAGAACAAATGCTGCATAAATATAATCTTGTGTTGCAGAATTATTATTTTCTACTCAACCCTCTTTTCTTCTTCATCCTATGACCATACTTCCTCCCTTGACTGATCACAGGACAAACACTAGGTACTGACCAGGATCATGTGACCGGTGGAGATGTCCATGTTAGCCTGTGCCGGCTCCTCACACCATGATGGCGTGCTGCTGTGGGAGCTCGGGCTGGGCTGGGCTCCGTCGCTGAACTGGGACGACACGCTGCTCACCCTCGAGTCGGTGCCACCACCTCCTGCTGCTCCCGCTCCTCCTCCAACTCCCCCGACGCCGGCACCTGCTCCTCCTCCTCCTCCTCCCGCACCTCCTCCTCCTCCGCTTGCTCCTCCCACGGCGCCGAGGGCTGCAGCTTCCAGGCGTCCGAAGGCACCTTTGGAGGCCATGTGCTGGCGACACAGGTCCTGGTGAGCCAGTTATGCGTGTTACACTGCTTTATCACAGTTATTTAACCTCTGGGTTTCTCAGCTAATGAGATTTTATATGTTTTATAAATATTTGAATGAGATTTTCTTACTATTATCTTAATTATTGCGTTTTTAATGTTCTTTAAGGTCCACACTTTTTTGAATGAGGGGGCACGAGGGGGGGAACTGACTTACACAGGGGTGGCATGAAGTATGTGTCTGAGCTTTTCAGTCACTCCCAATTTATGCATTTCCAACACTGTTTATGGACCTCAGTATGCAGAAATATTCAAAAACTGCAGGGGATCAGCATACATTCAGATATCTTGAGGTCAGAGGTCAAGGCATCCCTTTGAAAATGGCCATGCCAGTTTTTCCATCACAACCCTTTCCGACATGGTTGGTACCAATGGATGCGTTACATCATCTAGTTTCATGTGATACACTGTAAAACAAGTTAATTTAACTAAATAAATGTTTGATTGCATTGTTTATGTGTGAAAACTTCAATCATAATTGGTTATTGTTTGTTTGTTGCTTTGTCCTATTTAAATGTGCTTTTACTCGCTCACCTGGTACTCCTGGTGGCTGAAGCTGCCTCCCTCTGGTCCCAGACCCAGTTTCTTCGAATGCCGTCCGTGTGGCGTGGACGCAGACAGGCGATGGTCCATGGTCGGGGACACCAGGAATGCCACCGCATGCACGCCATGGCGACCAGCGTGGCGATATACCAGCGGAGCCGGCTGGACTCGGGTCACCAGTGAAAGCATCCCATCATTCCTCTGAGGGAGAGGGTAAAAGGATTGAGAGACAAAAGTAGGTGAGGAGGGAGGAGGCATCCATCTCAGCCAGGAACCTGCCAGGTGCACAACCAAACAGGGGCCGGCTTGGCAGACATTTCAATCTGTTCAAATCTAAAGTCTATTTAAATAAATTAAGACAAGTATATAATTAATATTTAAGTGTTGGCTTTGTGATTTAGCATACACATCACAGCATGATGATCATTAGTAAATGATGGTCCATTTAGCAGCTAAAATAGACCATAATAAGCAGGGTATGCTTTAGGGCATTGTTTCCTGTTACCGACGAGTCGAAACTGCGCAGCCAATGAGAGCAGCTCAACTCGCAGTACGTCAACGGCAAACTAAAAACTTTGCAACATGCGTTACAATTTTCAGAGAAAAGCTGCTGTGGAATCGGACACTTGAAGCCGCAACAATCCAAAAAAAAGCCAGCGGGATCCTGAAGGGACGGAGATTTTACACATACATTCAGCCTCTCCACGCTCTCTTCCTTTTCTCTCATCCTTTCATCTTTGTTCCCCTCTTCTGCTTGTCACCCCCAACTTTCTCTTCGCATCCTTTTCTTCCTCTTCCTCCCTCCATTCTCTCCTCTCCTTCTCTCCCTGGATGAATTGTCTCTGTTGACCTTTCAGACCTCCTCCTTCCTTTCCTCGGGCCTCAGGAATGTGAGGCGCTCTCTCCCAGTGTGTGTGTGTGTGTGTGTGTGTGTGTGCTTATCTGAGAGACATTAAAGCTGGGGGTGTAGAAAGTCTTCACCTGCTTTTATAAAAGGGCCCGATGGGGTTCAGTTTGTGAAACTGAAGGGTAAAAAAGAAAATGGATGACCAGATTACATGTGGACTATAACGTGTGACTACATTGTCAAGTTTTCTTCTTCTTTCTTTAATTTATGGTGCTCCAAGCCGCCGCCAAGACAGTTCATTTATCACTGCTCACAATAAAAGAAGAAATCCTTTAAGAAAAAGTCATAAAACAGCTGAAACACTCCTTAAAAATATCTGCAGGAGTTAATTACTGCAGACATCCTATGGTATATTTTATAAGGTTGTGCATACCTTTAAACACACTGAAAATGTAGATTTATGGATAAAATATGACATTCAGCAAGAAAATGTCACATACACATATAATGATCCTTTTAGGAATATTATACAAATACCTCAAGTAATATAAAGAGAATTGTCACTGTTATTCTATTTTGTGTTCATTCTTATACTGTAGGAATATTATAGGAACATTATACATATAACATAAGTGATATAAAGAACTTAATAAGTTCACTATAAACTGACTGTCAAGTAATCTTTATAATATATTTTTATCTTTTTTTTCATGGATACAAGTGACCCAGCAGCTCATTTAATAAACTATAATAATGATAACAGCTAAGTAGTTGTTTTCACTCACCAAATACAGAGCAACTCTCCTGACGTCCTGCTGCACTCACCGGTGCCGAAATATCAAGAGTGTCAATTTACACTGAATTTAAATAAACTGGACTTCCTGGACTGACTTTCAAAATAAAAGCGTACTTTGTTACTTTGTACTTTTACTCACTACTTCACATTTATTTGACAGTTTTGCAGAGTCAGATTAATAATACCAAATATAACTCAATTTATAAATTATGATGTTTTTTTATGGATTGCTGTGCTGTCATTGTAACAACAGCAGTAATCTGATCTCACTGCTTCTCCAGCGTTCACACTCCTGCTGCCGTTCTTCGTCTCTGATTTCTCCTTCCCACAATCCTCAGGTATCAAACTCAGCACTCACCTCTCCAACGCCACCCTGCAGCACCTTCAGGCCCGTCTCAGAGTCCAGGAAGTTCTTCTCTGCAACTGCAGAAATAAAAGGTTAGAGCGTAATGACGCATGTGGCACTGTGGGTAGCAGTATCATCCAGCTGTTTTTACCGGCTTTATCTGCCACATCTGCAGCTGTCAGGTTCTTGGAGTTGGTTCTGATCCTGAAGGTGATGGCAGGTCCGACCACACTGCAGATGACAAAACACACAATGTAGGCACAGTTACTCGACCTCTACAGAGGGAATATTACTTTTTACTCATTATACTTAAGAAAAGTATCTGAATACTTATTTATAGAGAGGGAAAATATCTGATTGGTCTGTTTCTTATATTCAGTGTTTCCAAAACATGTATCCAACGTTATGGACAAAGAATTGAAATAAATGTGAACAAATATGATGTTTTATTCTCATTTCTACTTTATAAAATGTATAAAGTCTTTTTGTTTTCTGCAATTAAATTGTAATTAACATTTTAGTGTTTCTATCACAAAATCAATTGTATTTTTAGATGATCTTTTATATTTGTGAGTAAATTATTTGTCTACTTTTTAAGTGTGATGTTTTGAGAACTTGAATAAAGAATTACAGACATAAAAAACTTGACAACTAAGAGATTTTTGCTTCAGTTTCCACTTTGGGGGCAAAGGTCAGGGGTCACTGTCAGGTGAGAAGATGAAGCGAAGCAGAATAAAAGCAGTGAATCACTTCCACATGCAGACAATCAACACACACCAGCTTTTACGTCTCGTTCAGGTTCCACAAACAGCTCTGGGCCAAAGGTTTAAGTTAATCCCCTGAAATAAAAGTCAGTGATCCGGTAAATGAGTGCGGATCAGGAGGGCGGAGAGGCATCGGGCTGCAGGACTCTACAGATCTGTGAGGGTTCATGAGCACCGCAGTCCTCGGTCCTACCTGATGTTGATGAAGGAGCCGGTGGAGAGGCCGATCCTCTCTGACAGGCGCTCCAACAGTCGCACCCCGTCGTTCAGACTGAGGGGGCTGCGGCGACAAAACGCACACATTCATACACACACACATAAGCACATTTCATACACACACATTTACACACACGTAAACACACACAAACACACACACACACACACACCAGCACACACACAAGCACATTTCATAACGCACACATATACACACATAAAAAACACACATACACCACATTTACACACACGTAACACACACAACACACACACACACACACACACCAGCAACACACAAGCACATTTCATACGCACACATATACACACATAAACACACAACATCACACACACCATTTACACACGTAAACACACACAAAACACACACACACAAGCACACACACACACACACAACACATTTCATACGCACACATTTACACAACATAACACACACATACAACACATCTTAACACACACGTAAACAGCACACAAACACCAACACAAGCACACACACACACAAGCACATTTCATACACACACATACACACACATAAACACATTCATACACAGACACATACGAACACAAAAACATACATTTACACACATTTACACACATAAACACACACACACACACACACATAAACACACACACATAAACACACACACACACAAGCACATTTCATACACACACACATACGGACACATAAACATACATTCATACACACACACATAAACACTCACACTTGTACACACAGGAAGTCGTCCTGATTGGTGGAACCATGAAGAGGAAACGAGCGTACTGACCTCTGATTGGTGACCACGTATCCGTACTCGTCAGTCTTGGATCCTGGTTCAGTCTTCGGTCCGTCCTGGTTGGCTGCTGCACTCGAACCTTTCTGGAGTCCTTCTGGTCTGACGGTGGAGGCCGGAGCCTCGGGGGCAGCGATCTTGTATGCCATCGAACCCTCTGTGAGCTGACGAAAAGAAGATACACAAAGTACATCAAATGTATTAAAAACCACAACAAAAACAAAGTTCTACATTTATACACTGCAAAAAATACTATATAATGTGTAATGCTTGTGGGAACTCGCTCACCTTCTTTCCTGTGGCAGCGTTGTTTCCATAGTTATCTAAAATGTAAACAAAAACGTAATATAATAATGCAAGACAAAATTATTATATTATTATTATATCTTATGATTGATTATTTACATTTAGTTTTCTGACATTTTATGTTTAAATTTGCAAATGATGCCTTATCTAATCTACAGATGCAAATAGACAAAGTGTAGTAACATAAACACTAATGTGTACGTTCTTTCTTTTCACTAGTCATGTTACGGAAGCCAAATCTGTGTGCCCCAAATCTCAAACGGCGTTCCTGCCTGTGGTGTCTCGCCTTACACGAAGAAGCCGACTGACCTTTGGTTTGTTTGTGGCCGTAGGAGCTGTCCAGCTGCAGCTGCTTCAGGGCGGCCGGCAGATTGTCTTTCTGCTCGGGGGACAGATCCTTCAGGTCGAGGCCGTAGTGCTCGAGCAGCAGAGCCAACCGCTGCAGAGAGCGCTCTGAGAAAACACAGGTGGAAGAGCTCAGGAATCCTGATCCTATTGGTTTTACTGGAGCTTAACTTTCCATTTTGTGAGACTTCCTATTTGATCCAACTCCTTCTGTATTATTAATCTGAATCTACAAAGTGACTGAAGTTATCAAACAAATGTAGTGAAAGTACAATAGTCCCCTGTATGTAAAAGAAAGCAGAAGAAAATAAAAATACATATCATAAGTATCTTATGATTTCACTCTTCTTCTTTCTTCCCTGATGTCTTTCATTACTTATTTCTCAGTTATCTCTCATTCCGTCTCTTTATTATTTCTTCCCTTTTGATCAACAGCTGAAATTAATTCAATTATTTAGATCGAATAAAATAGTTTGTTGTCAGGTAAAAATCTGCAACAAAATGAATTTAGAGCATAAAACTTATTTTCTTTCTCTTTCTTGTTATTTCCTCTCTCACCGTCCAGTCCGGAGAGAGCGTCGTACTCCTCCTGCGCCTTCTTCTTTGCCTGCTCCTGCTGCTCCTGCTGCTGCTCCTGCTGCTCCTGCTCCTGCTGCTCCTGCTGCTGCTGCTTGCGGAGCTGGGCCATCTGGGAAACGTAGTCCTTGCCATAGTCCAGTGGGAAATCCAGCTCCTGGAAGAAGGAGGAGGGCAAGGAGGAGGAGGAAGATGATGAGGAGGAGGACAGTGAAGAGGGAAATCCTGCTGCTGCTGCTGCTGCTGCTACCGCCCCTCTGTTGCGGGAGAGGGACTGCACAGTGGAGGAAGAAGAGGATGAAGAAGAGGAGGAAGAAGAAGGGGAGGTGAGGTAAAAGGACACAAGGTCCTGGAGGAGCTGCCGGTCTCTATCCAGAGGGTTTCCTCGGGTTCTGGAGCGAGAGGGGGCGGCGAGGAGCGGGAAGGCTGGATTATCGTCCAGAGAGTTGAGGGAGCGTTCCTCCTCCTCCTGGTAGCCGTACTGCTGCTGCAACAACACACATACAACAAACAAATGTGGTTTTATGGCCACTAGGTGGCAGAATAACTCCACAACACAACCTCAAAGCTACACAAAGCAACATGATGGTCCCACTGGAGTGAATCTAATACTCCCTCCACTTTGAGCTCTGGTGTGGTCTCCTCCAACAGTGTGTACATTATATCCAACAGAAAACAATAAGAGAGAAGTCTGAAAACATAATCATATGGATCATTTGTGCAGTAGATATGTAATTTTTTTATTTTCTATCTTGGTAAATATCTGGTAACACCTCATATTGATCCGGTGACTCTTGGAAACTGGGGAACCACTGTACTTGCAATCAAATACTGTATAATATTTCTGAATATTTCAGATTTTATCAGCGGTGTCAGAGATGTGAACTTCCAACAGGCCGGCAGACTTTAGAGAGTTTAGAGAATTGACCATGTATTATTGTGTGACCTAGTTAATCAGTATATTATTTCAAACATGTTGGACCCAATAGCACTCAACCATCTGCTGAGATCTTCTTACAGTACACAGTATTGTTTTAAATAAACAGTCCATGTGTGTCTGTATTCTTTTCCCACCTGGTGGTAGGTGTACGGGTCCAGCAGGGGCGTCTGCATATGGACGGAGGATCGGGAGGGGTCGAGGATCATGTAGTCCACATACTGCTGCATCATCTCGGGGTCGGCTGGATCCTCGGGCCCCTGAACCCTCCGCTGACTGGGGCCCGACAGTCTGGACAACCTGGGGAGTAAATATTTGATTCAAAAGTTTCTTCTCCGTTTGTGTTGTTTTGTGCAGTATATTTTCTTACTGTTTGGGCGACTGCTCGTCAAGTTTGGAGGAGGAGCCGACTGTGGGAACTCGACTCAGCTCTCGGCTGATGATTGCCTGGGTGACGTCGTCCCTCCAGGTCAGACCTGCGCAGCCACAGGGCCACAGAAATGACTTTCACTCTTACTTGTGGTGAGCAAGAAGTTGTCACAGAAAAAGAGACTTACCTTGCACCATCAGGTCTTTGAGGACTTCCTGCAGTTTGTGCAGGACTTGTACGGACACCTGGTACTGGACGGGCTCCTGGTGAGGAGGCTGGCACTGTCCAAACAGACCATCTGCACAGGAACAGACCAACACAGTGCAACACTGAAGCACGCCACAGCATCCACTACCTCCTACCTCTGCTGATTGAGACTCTACAAACTGTCAGTCACATCACAGACGTTTTCTAATATTAAACACTTTTACCTCCTCGGGCCTCATTGCTTCATTTTAAACCTAAATGTATTGGACAGGGGTTAGGGTAGGTGAGTAAGATTTATTTTTAATTTGAGCAAACTGATCCTCTAACCCAAGTAAAACCCCAAAGCAGCTTAGCATCAACCAGGTGAAAACAAACTGGCTGTCCTCAAACGGGTTCAAAAGTAGTAACTGGTGCACAAATATGACGTAGGGAAGACCCACGCATGAACACAAGCAAACAAATTAATAATTCACATATATATGCACCAGAGACATATTCTACTTCAGTCAACCTTTTTCCTTAAAGGACCCCTTTTCTATCATTGACTAAACTGAAACCCCTGACTTGGAAAATAATGTGTTCAACATTCATTCAAATTGGTTGTTTTATACAAACTTCCTGCTGGTACTGTGTTCAGGTTGTTTAGTACAGTCATCAGTTGTTCTCTACTGTTATTGTTGAATATAATATTAAATATCTATAAATTATGTAATTATGTCACTTAGAGGATAGAAAAGTGGTCCCTTAAAGAAAAAGGTTGGGAACCACGGCTCTATGTATGCATGTATGTATGTATGTATACACACACCTACAACGTACATGTACACAAACAATATATACAGTACACACTGACAAATATGTACATAAACGCATAGAGAAACGAAGCACAGTGTGTGTGTGTGTGTGTGTGTGTGTTTGATGAGAGATGGAGGGAGACAGAGGTGATGACTCACCCCGGTCCACACACACACACACACACACACGAGGGAGACACACGGTCGTCAGGCAAGTGATGTCACTGTTGTCATAGAGACGGCCAGGACGGGCTACGATTGGCAGAGAGCGGCTGACGGAGGGCCACCTTGTTTACTTTGCACTCTCGCTCTTTTTCTCTTTCCTTTTTCTATCATCTTTCTCTCATGTTTTCATCTTTCTGCCGGTGTGATGAATCTCATAGACAAACTCAATCGTTTTTCACACACTCACATTTCAGCGCAATCACACACACACGTCACGGTCACACACACACACACACACACATGTCACGGTCACACACACACACACACACACACCACTCCAGCTATTGCATTGTTTGAAGTTGTTGTATGTTGCCTGTGTTAATTAATAAAAGTTGTGTTGTACAACGGAGTGGTAGTGTTGGATTGTGTGCTGAGGGAACCCACAGTAGTATAGAGACTTGTTTCAGGAGTAGTTACGTCTCCTGAATTTCATTTTCTGTGGGTAAAAAAGATTACAGATTACAGATGTTTAAAGAAACAGAATTGGTTGTTTGGTCAATGCAGTCTGGAATGTATTTATTTTACTAATAATGCTCTCGGTTCACCACACATTACAGATTACTAACTGTTTATATTCTGAAGGTATAACACAGATTAGATGTTTGAGGACACAAAATGGGTTGTTTTTGTTATGCAGGATCTATTTTTCAGCAAATATTCCAGATTACCGATGTTTTGTTAATGCAGTGTGGAATGTAGTCATGTTGCTCAATATTAAAGTGTTTCAGTCAGAATACGGATGTTTCAGGCTGCAAAAAGTGTTGTTTATTTGTGCAGTGTGGAAGTTTAATTGAACACTCCAGAGGTTGGATGAAGATTACAGATGTTTGGGAACACAAAATGGGTAGTTTGTTTGTGCAGTCAGGATACTATATGTCTATTTTTCAGCAAATATTCCAGATTCCAGATGTTTAAATGCACAAAATGGGTTTTTTTTTTAATGCAGTCTGGAATTTAATATAGTTTAATGAAACATTCAAGATTACAGACGTTTAAGGACATAAAATGAGTTGTACTGTTTTATTGCAATTGGAAGTGGATTAATTTTAGTCAAATTTTCCAGAGGTTTAACACAGATTATGTTTCAGTCCATTAAATGCATTGTGTTTAAATTGCTGTTACTCTCTCACTCACTCTTGCATTTCAGCACACACATTTCCTCAAAGCATTATCTGACACACATTGCGAGACCTTGTTATGATCATGTTCCCTCGATGTTCCCGTCTCTGAACACAGGGAACAAAACATCCTCAAGGCGGACACAGAAACATACCGCCATCAATAATGCAGCTGCCTCTGAAGACTGAGACACAGGTGCACGCTTGCGCACATTCACGCTCTTGTAATGACATCCTAACCATGTTTGCACAGACAGGAAGTACGCAGGAAGTGGATTATGGATAGCCCTGTGACAGGCAGGCTGAGCCGTGATGGTTGACCAGCTCCTGACACGTCACAACTTCCTGAAGCGTGCTGCTAACACTGGAGCCTGCTGGGGTTGCTCATTATTGGTCAATTTACTATTCTCATCATGTTGAGTTCAGGGTACTGTAAACACAAGCTTCCATGTCTGCCAGCCAGAGGAGGATATCTGAGATGTTTTAACTTTTATGAATGTGTTAAAAGAGAATATGTTATAGATTATAAGATTTATAAATGTAGGTTTAAAGGGTCAGTTCACCCAAATCACAGTCACAGTGACAATTGTCATTGTTTTACGAGCCTAGCACATAGCATGCTGCATCATTCATACAGCAGCCATTTTGGCTGCAGAATAAAAGCAGGTATAACAGGTAAAACTGTAAATGTAAAACTCCAACACTCACCATCGCTGCACAGCTGATCTCTCGGACAGAGCTTCTTTTCAAACAAACAACCTGCAGAAACACAAAAACAACAACAAATACAGAAGAATAAATGCACATTCATTTAAAAAGAATCTTACCAAAACAAGAAAACAGTGGTCCTATAAACCAGCCTCCTTTAACTCAAACTTTTGCACGTTTTGAGCCTGAATTTTACATCTAAATGTATTGATGTATATGAAATTAATGATTTTCTGGTAATGTTAATGAGTTATTTCCCTGCTTTTTAATCCCACTTTGTCACATTAATATATTAGGAGAAAATATCAACCTTATAAAACTAACATCAGTCTTTAAACTGACATTAAGTTTATTATATGAAGCAAAGATAAACAGAAATGAGCTGGGGAAACCCCAACCAGAGCAGTACACTGGACATCAATCTTTTGTTGCTAAGTGATGGGAATATATGAATGTGTGTGTGTGTGTGTGTGAGATAGATGACCTTTCCCCGGGACCTAATCTGTTGTGAGGTAGTAAACAGCAGCAGATGTGAAGACGCTCGCTCTGTTCTGTTTATTTATGCTTGTTTGCATTGGGTTTTCATTAAGGATTTATACAATAACTATTATTGGAGTACAGAGCAAAAAAAGGGGCAGGATTTAGGAAAGGTCAACAGATGTAAAAGCCCACTTTTGAGCAAAATAATGTCACAATGTAAACTGAATTTCACCTGTTTTAAGAAAAAAAGCCTCAATTACAGACAAAAATAACTTGATTAGAAGAAGACTTTTGATATGAATAAACCAGAATATCCTTCAGATAAATCTCAGTTTGTGGTGATGGTGTTTTCTCTCTACCACAGGCCAACTCAATCTGTGTTTTTTCTTCTACCTTAGATCTAAAAAGTCAGTCAGACTATCGACTACATGACGACACAAACACAGTGCCTGTGGAGCGGCTATCAGAGAGGGAATCTCCATTAAACGAGAAAGCTGAGGCGCTGCTAAACATAGAACAGAGAGATTCTCCATCTGTCCGTCTGTCCGTCGCCCTCTCTGTCCAAACTCCACATGATGACTAATCTCTGCTCCTTCCTTTCTCCTCCGCCCACACATCCCCTCCTCCCTTCCTTCCTCCTGTGTTATCTCTCCATCTCTATCCTCGCCTCTCATCTCTCCTTGTTTCTACAAGAGCTCATCTTCCTGCAGACAGTCCATCACTGTCATCAGTCATACCACACTCGATCACCTCTTCTAATACACATTACGATTCATTAGAGGAAGATGCAGTGTAATTGAGCAATTTAATGACTGTAAGCAATGTTTATCCCGACCAGTTAGTATTTAAATCCTGGTCCAAATGGTCCCTCAGTGTTTTACTATTATATATTAATGTGTATGTTTAATTTGAACTACTTTATATACTGTTGAGTAGTTTAATCTACAGCAATGCATTTCTCTCCATGAGTCATATTATATTATATATATATTATATTATCATATAAATATCTTTATATGAGTGAGAAATCTGCCTCTTTAGTAAGAATAAATCAACATGTTTCCCACAAAAATCAACTTGTCTGGAGAATTGTTTAGAAATTAGCATTTGTATCTTGACAAAAGGCACAGAAATCCGAATAAATAGGCCTATATAGTCACATATAATGTTAGCCAACGTTAACCAAACACTAGCTAATTAATCTAGCTCGCTCAACTGTAACTACTGTAAAAACAAGCTGATTTGCAGTGCAGACAGGTTAACATATTATTCCTGCACTGGCAGATTTTTGGTAGTTTTCCCAGTAAGTGGGAGAGTTTTGCAGTGAAGTTGATTTAGTGGCAGTTTTTAACTCAGGGAGTCATAGAAACCGGCATTAAGCTCTCCTGTTTGATTCAATTTCACCAATAAAATCATGAAAAAATGACTCAGTTCAGGTGGTTCCAGCCAGCAGTCTTTATGTTTCTCAGGGGAAACTCCTCCTCCATCTTTTCTCTCTCTGTTTTACTCAAAAACTTCTTTCTCCAGCTAAAACTAATAAGAAAGAGAGTCGCCACCACCTGCCTCTGTGCCCTCCATCAGGGTTTCCTCTACACAGCACCGGCTCCATTTTGTTTCCTGGGAAGGTGTGGTTCAGTCTGAGCTGGATTGGCAGCCAACCGAATAACAGCTTAATTACGATTGCTTACACCATTACTAAAGGAAGACTTCAGGTTTGTTTTGCTCTAATCACACACACAGACATCTGTCATCCTCTGCTGCAGCATCAGCTCTCTCTCAAGGCTGCAACAACCATCAAATACAAACCCACATTCCAGCCTCCCTTCAATGGCTACCACATTTGGAAGTGGTTTTAATTAGTAAAAGGTTGAAGTAGATGAGTAATTAATAATTTAAGTATTAATATTTTGTGAGGTCTAACCTATGACACATTTATTTTAATTAGCAGGAATACTTTCTGAACCATTGTTACTATCTGCTACAGTCGGCTAATAGTATACAGATTCTATATACATCGTCTTTTCTCTAAGATAGCACAAGAGTGAACTTTTGTCTTCTTTCGAAATCTACCTTCCCTGACTTTATCTGATTCTAGCTTTTATTCTGTTTTAAATTTTAAATTGTTCTATTGTATTGCTGTGTTATTATGTGTTCTTTGCTTTTATGTGAAGTTCTTTGTAACTTTGTTTGATATATATAGGTTTCTTTTGAATCCCCGAACCTTACAGTTGCCTTTCTTTACCAAACCTGACACATTCAGGTGGCCTTTAGGCATGAGAACAACAGTCTGTTAACACTAACACAAAACCAGGGACGATGAATATTTCTGTAGCTGTGTACGCGACAACTGATATCCTGTGTTTAAACAGTCCACTATGATCCAATATGTGTTTTACGTAGAACAGGTTATATTAAGGAAATCCGGCTGACTCATCACCAGCTCAGAAATTGAACCCCAGCCTCCATCATCATCATCATCAGTACCTCAGTGTCTCACTGTTATCGTCCATTAACTGGCTGCCAGATTGAATCCGCTGTCATTTTCATAATGGTGCTGCTGGCATTTGTGGCTGCTGCTGTGTGAGTGTGAGCTCGTCCTCCCGGTCTGCAGGCTGACAAAGGATATTTAAGGTGGAATGAGTCAGCCGGTACGGAGCAGAATAAAGCCTGCGTGGTGTCGCTGAGTGGCAGTGGAGGCAGCGAGGTTACAACCCTCCTCGGCTCGGTTGACCTTTAAACTATAAACTTCAGACTGACTCATACTGATTGCAGCTTTTGAAAGGATGAGTCTGTGAGTCTGTATTTTCCTTTTGAAATAAAAACACCAAAAGCAACAATGAACTGATCCACTTAAAAGAATCGTTATACATCTTCTTCCTCTGTGCCACACAGATCCACTCACACATCAATGAGCCTTCATTACCATTACACACACTGGAATGTATTTATACACCGTCCTACTGCCACAAATACTCACTAGAGCACCAACTGTGAATTGTTGCTGTATGATTGTTAAAACAACTAATATACTGTATATATAATACACACTGAGATTTGTATAAGGAGTGACAAAAATGTCCGGAAAACAAATAACTAAATAGAAATAATCTGCTCAAAATTCATCCGAATTGCTCGTTTACACAAACTTCCTGCAGTTACTGAGTTCACTGTTTGGGTTCATTGTACAGTTGTTCTCTACTGGTATTGTTATGCATTGAATATAATATGAAGTATCCATAAAATATGTCACCTTAACACTTTTACAGTGTACTGAAATACTGTTATGGTATAGAATTTCTATTTTCTCATATTTTCACACATAAAACAACATCAGGGAAAATGTATATTGATTCCTGTTGCTATCACATTTTAAAAAAGGTCTGTAAAAAGTTAATTCTTTTATGAGAAGCCAACAGGATGAAGAATATTAAACGGGCACTACTTTGTTTTTCGGTCTTAAACTTTAACTTTAACTAACTTTATTTCTTCATCAAAACAATACATACATATTGTAAGAATGATAGGTAATGTTAAACTATGCAATAAAGTAACCCTGTTAATGGTCTTTAATGTTCCATACAGTGAGCTATTATTATGAGTTCAAGGAAACTTCAGTTCTCTCAGAAAACAGTCCTCTGAACATACAGTAAAGCTGCCTTTAAACTCCACACTTTGAGTTCCTGTTAAAACCCCATTATGGGATGTTATTGATGAACTCCTTTAGGAATTCCAATGAATACTGTTTTCTTTAATTCCCTTTTTCTACAGATATTAACGATGAAACCGCTGCAGCGTAACGAGATCAGGAGGATTTAATATTCTCTGCCGGTCGCTGTCCGTGGTGCTGAAACACTCCAGCTGGTCGCTGTCCGTGGTTCTGAAACCTCGTACGGCGTTTAATGCTGAGACAGAGACAGGAAGCCATTGTTGTCACTGTGAGCAGGCGGAGCTGAGAGGTCACTTATGAGTCATAACTGGGAGTATGAGAGTGTTGCTGTTCTATTTCTGTATGGATCTATAGTTAAAGAGACTTTAGATTTATGAGAGTTTTTATGACCTTTTTTCTTGCTATCTAACTGCCTGAGATCTTACAGTTTCTGAGAGAGTATATCCGTCAGTGTGAGGATATTATTGATTGTTTTTAGCTCTGTTATGGGCTATATTATGTATCATGTAATTAGCTGGAGGGAATACTGCAAACAAGCAGTTGAACAGACACTTGCATTCGTTTTTTTGGTATGTGTAGCCCAAACACGCTTCATTCACACACAGTAAACATCAACTGCAGGATCTCTTCCACCCAAATCAGTATTTTATCTTGTAAAACACATCAACTAAAACTGTGGATGTACGACTCCGCTGAACTGCAGTCTAATAACATATTCCTCCCAGGATATTAAGATCTCACACCGACCTTATAAAGCACTCACTGACTTAATGGTGTTATTATAATATCCTATAATATCTCAATAATCTTCCTTATGGGGATGTATTGTCTCTGTTGTACCCATGAACTCATAATCCCTCTAGTATTAAAAGTTAAATATGAGATTTAGAGTATTCATATAACAGAACACAAGTATTTGCTATGTAAATATATAATCTGTGCCTATTTCTTTTATATTTTTTAACAATCAAACACACTTAATCGACAAATTCAGTGTTTTCTTGTCCCTGATGCTTGGTCATTGTTTTTATTGGCCTCTATAACAGTGACTTATTGCAGGTGAATTATTTGTTTCTATTTCTGGTTGCTATAGTCATCATGAGTTTGGTCACAAACTACACTGACTTATTTCCTATAAATGTTCCTGCAGGAGCACAGTATTACTATTGTGAGTTTGTCTCAGCAGTATTGATCTTCATGGTGCATTTACTTCCTCTGTAACCACCATAATATCCTCACACCTAATTTAATAACACCAGAACCACCATTCGGTAAATATTTCCTCACAGCTGCAGCACACAGACTTTTTATTACATGATCATATATATTTATATTTATATACAGGCTCAGATTCAATCACAACATCTCTCTCTCTACTGCTGTTCTTGCTTGTGTTTGTTGTTGTCCTTGCAGACTGAACATCAAAATGATTCATTCGGGCAGCCAGACACATCCGAGCTGACCCTCGGTCAGCGCTCTTGAGTCAGTGACGCAATTTAGCGCCAGTGTAAACAGATGAGAGGCAGAGGAGCAGCAAATACAGCCAATATAAAATGAATTCTGGCAGGTTAGACTGCTCTGAAAGCAAACTGATTCTAGTGGGATGTTACACCGAAATAAACAGCTACTAAAGGATTGTTATAGGAATATGAAAGCTGATCCATCCTGCTTTATTTTAAGCATCAACACTCGAGTTTAGGAGCACAGAGCAACTTCAGATCTACATTTTCCGCAAATCCTGGAGCATATTCTACAACACCCTTACTCAATGTTATGAAGGAGGTGGAGCAGTAACATAAAGTGCTGTAAGGTCACTCTAAGTACAACAGGTACTATATGAACACGGCAGCCGGGGCTTGTCATCGGGGAACAAGTCGTGATGAACGCAGCGAGTTGATGAAGAGGGTGGAAGTGCATCCGTCAGCGGCTCTTACCGTGTCGGGCGGCCGCGCAGAGCCGGCAGGAGGCGGTGAGGAGGAGGCACAGAGCTGCCCACAGCTGCGGAGACCTCATGGTACATCCAGCATCCACCGGAGCGACGAGGAGGAGGAGGAGGAAGAGGAGGGGAGAGCGGCCGCTGCTGCTGCGTTTCTACCAGCTCTCCATGTCTGAGGAGAGGCTGCTGCTGCTGCTGCTGCTGCTGCTCAGGA